AATGGCCAAAATTTATTTCATGGTAAAAATTCCAACTACCTTATCATTTATGAAAAAAATATAATTGGTTTTCCTCTTTTGGTTGAAAACTAGTGACATTAGTTAACATTACTGTCAAATTTTTCCGTAATGTTTTATTGTATTCAAAATACAAAACATAGAATGTTTTTCGTTCAACTCTCTGAAAATCTAAAGAACCAACTAAATCCAATTTTCTACCAAAAACCTCACTCAAATTTGAAGATTTTTACTGCTCAAAGAGTTATGAGTGATGACACCAGAACAAACACATAATATTAACGATATAAATGCAAATATATACCCGTATGTATCGTGGGTACCTATGTAATAATATAATGAACATCGAAAGTAAAATAAATAGGATTACGTTTCAATTGAAACATTATCGGGATTCGGGGCTGTCAAAAAGGATGTAGTCACGTGGGTACCTATAACAGTATGTGCTCGACGAGTGGGTCGTGGGAGGTGTTACGTAGGGAAGTACCTACGTAACAAATATTAATGCATCCACCAATATATGTATAAGACGTGGTGAGCTGACACTTAAAATGATAGACCCGGCGGTAATGATCGCGTTTGCCGCCACACATGTTTGGTTTTCACTACTGTTATTATTTATTATTACTATTATTATTATAAATTCTCATCGTTGAATTGACAACCGTGAACGAACTGACGTATAAATAGGTATAAGCACAGCCGCACGGGCTTAATACTAATACCCCTGCATGGTGCCTTTACGTAACTCGTTGACGTGAAGTGGATGAGTAACGGAACCGTCAAAATGATATTAAGTTTACCTATATCTACATTTTATTCCAATGGTAAAATTAAATCAGCTTTATAAGTAAAAAGTAAATAGTCACGTAATACCTAACACGTGTTAATATTATTATTATAAATACTACTGTATTATTTATTTATTTATTTATTTATTTATTTATTTTATCGACGCCTCAGGGGCATAAGTATAGTACAGATTATAATTATGGATTATACATAATATAACAAGGTAAGAAAAAAAGAACATTGGTGCATGAGTAAAGAATAAATTAATGAAAATATTAACAAGTACAATTTTTAAGTTTAAGAATTAATGATGGCAAAGAATCATTAAAAATATCAATATTTGACATACTATTAATAGATCGACAAGCACGATCAAGAGGGGCTGCGTACCCATGGTTAGTGGTGTGAAAATTCGTTTTAAAAGTTTGGGGATTTCTGGAATAAAAAGAAGGAACTGCTAAAGATAATTTAGCAAGTAAATCAGGAGCATCAATATCATTGTTCAATAATTTGTAAATAAAGGTAACATCAAATTCAACACGTCTATCAGTTAGAGATTTAAAAGTATACGGGTTAATCCCGCACCGAAAAGTGCTCATTTTTATAAATTTATTTTGTACTTTATTTATACGATTAATATGTAATTGTTGATGTGGTGACCAAATAATAGCAGCGTATTCAAGAATTTAACGGACTAGTGACATATATAGAGTATTCAATGCGTTAATATTAGAGAAACCGATGGTGTTACGATTTAAAAACCCAAGTATTTTATTGGACTTATTACAAATGTAATTAATGTGGTCATTAAACGAAAGGTCGGAAGAGAAAATAACACCTAGATCTATTATATAGTATTGCTGCCGTATAGCCCGTATAGGTACATACAGGCTACAAGTACAGTTTATTGTTGTAGTCTGTGAGACAATACTGCCCGAATGGGTCTATCCACTCGTCCCTACAGAAATATACATGAATAGTTAAATAATAAATTCAAGGTTGTTGAAATACAATAAAAAAAACTTGTAACAATAAAAATCAAAATCATGTTTTAAACATACAAACTAGGATGATAATAACACATACCTTGAACTGCACTTGAAGCTATCTGGCTATCTATATTCTATATGGACTATACATTGTTACACTATATACAGTATACGCATAACGATTACATCCTACTATAAATATGTATATTTTAAGGGGCCATCGGCTCACCAGTGCGCTACTAAAGCAGTAGCAATATTATCTACTATAAATAGTTGTGACTTATGAATTCATTGGTTGACAAATAAACCAAGATCTTCAACCAGATAACATAATGTAAAATAAGTTTAACAAAACATAAGTAACGCATATTTATACTGTAAAGTTATTGACCAAAAAAAAAACAAGAATCATAGAATCCTCAAAAACCGGAAAGTAGTTATTTCCAAATAAAATATAAAAACAGATGAATAATAATATATTAATCTGATAGTTATATCGCAAGTTTAACACAATTTAATAGGTTTAAAAAAAAATAGTGTAAAATAATGGTATTAGTTCACGTATTATATTATCGGTAACATTTTTTATTTTAAATAACATTTTATGATTTTTTTAAATTCAGTCATCAACTATCATTATTCACTTTTATAGTTATAGTTTTATAGTATTGTTTTTAAAATTACTGCTATCAATTCAACAGTAATACATTAATGGAGAAGAGAATCTGCAGGGAGAAATGGAAATTCAATTTTTTTTATGCATATTATGTACGAGTGGTTTGCAGCTATGTAGTCAACAAAGATAATAATTATTAGGTAGTTTCGACATTACTAATTACAATAATTAAATACAATCTTTTTTATGTTTCAATGACTTGTCAGTCAACTCAGTCGTATTTGTGCATACAGTAAGTAAGCCTAACCTAATATTATCGATTATCAATTAAGGTTTTTTCTTTTTTTAAGTAATAATAAATTAAATAGCTTAAATATTTTTCTTGATATTATTGAATTGATACATAAATAAATAATAATAATTCTTTATTTATGGAATGAATAAATACCAGTTACAAATATTCTACGAAATAAAGTGATTGTAAAGTATTTTATAAAAGTACATATAATTTTTAAAACTACATAATAAATAATATAACATAAAATGGGGCGTAGCTTAAGACAGAATGTACTATTTTTTTTCGAATATCTCTGAAAATAATAAATCTTAAGCGCTGTAAAAAATGTAAACCTCGACATAAATTCATAGAAAAACGATGTTATAATTTAAGTGGTTAACTCTGGACTGCATTTCACGTTTTAAAAAAAGTGTTTATTGATGTAATATTTTTTTTTAAACACAGTTTAACAAGAAAAATTAACAAATTTTTTTATAATAAATATTAATTAAATAAAAATAGGTTTATTAATCTCAGTCTATAAAAGAAACATTTCGAATAAAAAAATAAAAAAAATTAAGAAATTCTAATTCATATTATATAACAAAATAACCAAATAAAATTTGTACTTATTATTGTGCACTAAATCATGTGTCCGAAATTACATACAAAATACCGCTTTTATAAACTCATCAATAATACTTCCTATTTTATTATTAACATGTACATTTATACTGATTTTTAGAGTACAAAATTACCAACTTATTGAAAAAAAACACACTATAATAGCATTACACATAATTTTTTTTGACTTTTATCAGTTTTAATTATACAAATAGAGTTTTTGAATATACATAATTTACCTCGATAGTACCAATGTAATCTTTTTTAGATAGGTAAGAAACCAATAACTACCAATATAGTAGTTTCGTTCAAAGTATCTACTTACAATATTTTGAAACAATTTTTTCAATTTATGAATTCCCTTATCAGAAAGTTCCGAATGTTCCGATATAAATTAAAAACTGTTTTATCCGAATTTACCCCGTAAGTCCCTATTTTACATATTTAAATAAAAAGAAATAATCAATTAACAAATAATGATTATAAAAAAGAGCAGTAGGATGTACAATTTAATTGAATCTAATAATACATTTAGTAATTATTATTTATTAGATTTGATAGGTTTATTGTAATTCTAAATAATCTACAAATAAATATAATATAATTATAATATGCGAAAATTTTTTTCACGAGGCACGAGTTCATAATTTTTCTAAGTTTCTTTACATTTAAATAACAAGACAACTCATCAAGTGTACAGAACAAATCAACATTTATTACAGTACCTATTACCTGCAGACATTAAATGTTATCAGGGCTGTGTTACGTATATATTTTAAGAGGACGCTACACGGACATTAAATTTGTTATTTCCGTCTTCACTAGCAAATTATAGCGATATAGCAAATTTTACTCTAGCAGATCACTTTTAGCTCTGTTTGTTTAAAAACTAGAGTTTTAAAATCATATAAATTGTATGTACAACTTAAAATACTCACAACTCCCTTTAAAATTAATGTATAATAAAAAGCTGAGATGCTCCAGATCCTTACAGATATTTTACCTTTAAATCTCATAAGAGGATAATTCACTCTAATTTTTGAGATAAACGTGATCATAACATACCACCATCCCACCACATCGCACCTGTAAGACGGAGACAACGAAATATGTCCGCGATGTAGAGTTCTCTTAACGTTAACATTTAACAAATAAAAATATGTGGGTTTTTGTTCTAAAATTAATTGGATTTACTTAAAGTTTATTTACTCAAGTAGGTCTGGATAATCAATCATATTATGCAATCATTTGAACAAGAATCTTAAGTTTAATGTAAGGTACTTATCTGTTTTTTAAAGAAATTCAACATGTTTCAGAAGTACCTAAAAAAAAATAAAGCACCTATACCTATAATGTAGGTAATTAATTATTGCATAGATTTAAATAGGTATTATACTATCTCATATATTTTTAAATATTAATATATATATTACTTAATTAGGTATATACAGGTAGGTACTTCAATACCTGGATAATTAGTAATTACTATAAATAAATAAATACAAATACAACACAATATTATCTTATATAACTGTACCAGAGCATTCAGAGCTATTATTTTATTATCTACACAATATCGTGTAATGAGTATCACAGACCACTGACTGAAGTGTGTAAAAAATATTATAAGCTTACAAAAATTGTGAGTTTAATTTTTTATTGCTGTTGATAGTACATGCGGTGCACCGTGCATGGCGTTGCTACTTGCTTTCACAAATTGCCAAACGCGAATGTATTTATCCTGTCTTATTGTCTTAATCTTGGTAAAATGTAAATGTAATCACACATATTTTTATCAGTCATTTGGATGGTTTTTAACTAAAACAGGATAATAAGGTCTAGAATTATATTTTCGTGATTAAAATAACTATTTTATTTTCTGTAACCAATGGAAGCCCAGACAAGCAAAATATTATATTAATACTAGGTGAGCCAATAAATCTCTGTGTGAGGTGTGAGCTCCTCTTTAAAAAGCAAAATTAAAAAAAAATTGGCCTAAAGGTATACATTCGTCGGGTGTAGGATACCTATTAGCAGTGCCGTAACTAGAGGTTGGCGACATGGGCGCTTGCCAAGGGCGCAGTAAAATAAGGGGCGCGCTTTGAGTTAAATTAAAATTGGTTTTTTTTTCTCATGTATTTATTAAAATTGAGCGTAAATGTATAATGCACAAACATTACATACTGGAGTGCACCTTAATGGTGTTTATTACATTTAAATTTATATTATACACTGGAATACTGATATAAATTATTTTATTTTTGCGTGTATGAAATGTATAGCCATATGGGCACGAACGACAAACGACCATAGTAATGATTAACACAAATGACTGGTTTTCCCAATAATTTAACTAATATTACGGCATACGGCATATACCATACTTTATAATATAATATCTATACAGAGTAGAGATTAAAGTTTATCATTACATTGCCACATTACACTATAGGTAGGTACGTTTCTCGGTAGTTGTCACTTGCCATTTGCATTCGGTTTCCGTATTTTATATTAGTGTAGGTAATACTGTAATCATAATTCTTTAGTAATAGTGTTTTTCGATACAAGAGCTGCTGAATAACGGTGTATCAATTATCAAGTATGTTTTTTAAATTTAATTGTAATAAATTGCAAATACATTAGGTAGGTACATTATACATTCATGTGTTAATTAGGGACAACTTTAGCAAACTTATTTATTATTTTATTTATTTTTAATCTTAGTTAAAATCTCAATTTTAATCGAAATAATATTCGGTTAGTTTCGTTTGCTTATTATTTCGTTTGCGTTATTTTTGTAAATTGTTATTTTTTCCTATAAAGTTTTAATTTTTTCTTTTAATTAAAAATTCTGTATTTTTGATGTTCTGAATACATCGTGTTTTCAATCATTTAGATTTTTCCCATATTAACAGATGGTATATTCATTTATACATTTATAATCAAGTATATTTTATTTTATCAGAATGCCTCCAAAAAAACCTTCTGGGGCTGAATTCAAAAAATTAAGAAAGGAACGAGAGGAAAAAGAACGCCCACTAGGAATCAATTTAAGAAACTGGTTATCTACTTCAACTTCATCTGACCATCGTTCATCTGATCAAATTAACTTTGAAAATATACCGAGTTCTAGCACTTCTTCAACTGTAATAACTTTTAATCAAAATATTACTAGTTTCATAACCGATAATTCCGAGACTGAACCCGAATTACTAGAACCAATTTCAAATAGTCACATAGACTTTTCAGACCCAGCTAAATGGCCATTAGTAAATGATAAAACACGAGTAGCAATCGTCGAGTATGGTTTCAACCATAATTATTATAATGATTTATCAAATTATATTTTTCCTGAAGACAATGATGGTAGGCATTTTAGTTCAAAATGGTTGTATAAAAGTCTTCCCAACGGAGAAAAAATAAGACGAAAATGGTTGGTTTATAGTTGTTCAACAGATAAAATTTTTTGTTATCCGTGTGTTTTATTTTCAAAATGCAGAGTTTCTGCATTTACTGATACTACAAACGGTTATTGTGATTGGAAACATCTAAACCCTAATATATCAGTTCATGAAAATACAAATGCTCACCTACAATGTTATATAGAATGGATAGAATTAGAAAATCGCATTAAAAAAGGAAAAACAATAGATGACGATTTTCAAAAAGTGATAAAAGTTGAAAAACAAAAATGGCGTGATATTTTAAAAGTAGTAATTGATGTCATATTATATTGTGCAAGAAATAATTTGGCACTTCGAGGTAAATCAGGAATAATAGGAGAAAATAACTGCGGCATTTTTTTGAATACTATAGAACTGATAAGTCATTATCATCCACTTTTAGCAGAACATATTTCAACAGTGAAATCTAAAAAGGGATCAATAAGTTATTTTTCACCAAAAATTCAAAACGAAGTTATAAATCTTATGGGTGAAAAAGTTCGGAATGAAATCATATCAAAAATAAAAGATGCAAAATATTTTTCCATTATATTTGACTGTACTCCAGATCTTTCCCATAAGGAGCAAATGAGTCAGATAATAAGATATTTAGAAGTGATTGATAATCAATGTTGTATTAAAGAAAGTTTTATTGATTTCATTGTATCCAAGGAAAAAACTGGTCATGGACTAGCGACCGAAATAATGAATAAAATTCAAAGTGATGGGTTAAATATTGAAAATTGCAGAGGTCAAGGTTTTGATAATGGTGCTAACATGGCAGGCCAATATAATGGAGTTCAATCTAAACTTATTCAAATCAACGAGTGGGCAAGGTTTATACCCTGTGCGGCACATAGTTTGAATTTAGTTGGTTTGCATGCAACAGAAACGTCTCCATGTATGATAACATTTTTTGGAACAGTTCAAAGAATTTTCACATTTTTTTCTGGTTCCACGACTAGGTGGGATAAGTTATTAACTGTTATTAAAATAACATTGAAAGCGCACTGTGAAACACGATGGTCATCTAAAAAGCATGCGGTTTCAGCACTTTTTAAAAACATAAAAGATATTTATATAGTTTTGCAAAATATTTCAAACGATCCTAGCTGTAATAATGATACAGTATCAGGAGCTACTGTTCTTCTAAAACAAATAACTTTTAAATTTCTTTGTTTATTACATATATGGAATGATATTCTCTCAAGCATTGATAAAATTAATTGCTCTTTACAATCCAAAAATATATCAATTGACACCGCATATAAAATTATAAAAGGATTAGTAAATATAATTAAAAATTTGCGAAACAGTGGTATAGCATCTTATGTTGAAGTAGCAAAACATATAGCAGTAGAACTGGATTTGGAAACAGATTTTCCCGAAAAACGTAAGACAAAAAAGAAACGTATGGTATCAGAACTTGCGGAGGATGAAGGTCATTCAATAAATTCCAAACGAGAGTTTGAAAGAGAATTTAATGCTGTGATGGATTCAATAATTGTTCAGATGGAATGGAGGTATAAAAAAATGGAAGAAGTATCGTCTGATTTTGAATTTTTAAGCGGTCATTTCCTATATCATCAATCAGATGATATAATAAAAAAATATGCATCTGATTTAGCAATAAAATATTCAAAAGATTTAGATGGAACAGAGTTAGTTTCAGAACTATTATGTTTCAAACACCAAGCGTCGTCACTGTTCTCCGATTTAAATTCAGCATCTCCATTGGATCTTATCAACGTGATACATTCTAATTCTTTAAAAGATATATACCCAAACATAGAAATAGCCCTAAGAATATTTCTTACTCTTCCAGTGACCGTGGCTTCTTGTGAACGAAGTTTTAGTAAATTAAAAATTATTAAAAACTATCTACGCTCAACGTTAGGACAGGAACGCCTTACAAATTTGGGAATATTATCAATTGAATTTGAAACTAGTAACTCGATTAGCTATGAAGATATTATAGACGATTTTGCAGCAACAAAGGCTAGAAAGATAAAATTTTAATTTTAATTTTAATGATTTATTGTAACATTATATTTTATTTAACATAACATTTATTTACATATAATAAGAAACATTGTACTTTTTTGGTTTTTTTTTTTTTTGTAAATTAAGACTGACATAATATTAATAATCTAATATCACTCATTAACTATAAAGACTCAATTATTTAAAAATATAGCGTTATTATGATTAACACAAAAGAATGTTATATTATTACATTTTTATATTATATACAAATTATACCTAAAAAATAAAACTAAAATAAGCGCTAAAATAAAATTCGCCAAGGGCGCCACGAAGTGTAGTTACGGCACTGCCTATTAGGATTCCCTATGTACCAAATTTGAGAACTGTCGAGTCGTGATAGTCGAAATAGACTTGGTGGATCGCATACACCCATAATTTACAAATATTCCGTTTAATTAATAATATAAACGGATAATAAATTAAATATAACATATACAATTCATATATTTAATAATTTAAGCGCTAATTAAATGTTATATGATTTATGATTCACGACAATCGGATAATTATTTTAATAACAGCGAATGGTGACTAAACAATAATAAACATTGCTGCGAAGCGCAAAAATTAAACGAAAAATAATATCGCGATGAAAAATTAGTAATAATAGTAATAACCAATAATAATAATAATAATATTACTGTGATTATAGTGCGATATTACAGCTGCCGTCGAGCAGCGGCCTCGAAAAGCCGTTATGGTGGGCGCGTCGGTAAAGGGTTGAGAGGTGGTGAGTGTGGAGAACCGCGTGCGCAAGTACGGCTGATTGCCTGATTGTGTGCGCATGTGTGTTCTGTGGAGCGAGTGTCGTAGAGCATAATGTCGTCGCTCAGAACGCCGCTCCTCATTCGCTCGTCGATCGCAATTTCGCGACGATTAGACGATAATATTTGATTGCGGTGGAGCACGACTGAGCAGCATGCAAATATGCAATAAATTAATGACTGCTGTAGCGCACGCGTCACGGTGCCCCGTCGACGTCGACTGCGACGACGATGATAATAGCCGATGATAATAATAATAATAGTAATAATATTGTACTTGTTATTTTGATTTCGCCGCGGCGACGACCACAGTCGACGAATAGTGCGTGTATGCGCTCCGAGTCTGGCAGACGGCCCATCCGTCTATCGTTAGAGGCCAACAGCTGTTCGCCGTCGTCTCCTGTGTAAGTACGACGCTCGTCATCCTCACTCGTCCAATACCCAATAATATATTATCTCTGCCGTTGGCCGCTGGAACGCAGTACAAGCTCGTCTCGACAGAAAACGACGACATGAGTGTCGAAAATCTCAACAACCACCCGCCCTCGGCCGACCAAACAGGTAAACACTAAACGCAATCCTTTCGTTCCACAGACCGTCCGCTTGCCAGATTCGTACTTACGTTACTCACGTCGTCCTCAAAAGTACAAAAGTAATGGGTAGCACCGAGGTTTGAGACCCCTTGTTTTGTCTGCATTGTCTCGCCAGTTTCGGCAATGGGTACCTATATGCAGTGGCGTTTTCTATTCTTTTGATACGACTTTCAGTTGACAAATCCTGTTCGATTTCGAGCTTTTTTAACTACCTGCCTGTTAGTAAATATTTTATTACAAAAAAGTTGTAGACATTAAGATTCATATTTTTCCAAATGATATTTTTATTCATTAATCCATTTGTTAAATATAATTATACCTTACATTTTATTTTAATTTCCTTTCCTGTTCATGACAAATACACTGTTAAATCAAACGTAATACTGAGTATTGAGCATTAAGCTACAATCTAAGCAAATGACTTGTTGTCTTTTTTTGAAAGACTGTCATTTTTAGAGATATTTATTGAAATTATTGGGAAACACAGAATTATTTGTAACTAAAAATTGGACTTATCTGGTTATTGCTCTAAAATTTAAAACACTGAATCATTATTTCTTTCTTTTCAATTTGGAACAAATGGTTTTTTATTGCCGTACTTGTTTGACTGGTACTGTCATGTGAAAATTATACCACTGGATCTACTGATCAGCTATTTTTCAATACATGCAATTAATTATTTTGTTTATTTAATTATAAATATATATTTTTTACTACAAACTAAAATACTTTTAGAATTAAGAACTATATGGCCTTGTCCTATATGTAGTTTGCTGAATAACCCCCTGGATCGCCAAGGCCTTATATCGTTCCTCGAACTCAAGTGTTAGAAAAAACTTAAAGATCTTAGTAGGCACTTAAAGTTATAAAAAAAATTACTTACATTTAGGCCTTTAATTCACTTTAGACATATTTGTAATGTTATCTTTAAAATATTTTATGGTATAATCAAATATAATAGATGTTTTTATCGATTATATTTCTTATAAATTTGCATGGAATATGTAATTGACTGAATTTTTAGAGGTAATCTAAATTATTTTATTAAGAATTTTTTTTTTTTGGTTTTAGGTTCTTCAAGCAAAAATAAAAAATCCATACTATATGATAAAACATTTCTTATTGACATTGATGACAATATAGTCAGCTCAAAAGTTGAAAAGCTTATAAATACATATGGAGGAGTAAGTTTCTTGACTTGTATTTTATTTTATAAAAGGTATGACATCAGTGCCGGATTTACTGGCGGTATATAACACCTGGGCTTATTATTGATTTTACTTTTTAATCTGTTTGAGTAACTTTTATTTCAATTGAAAATTGCTAATATTTTGTGATTTGACAAAAAATGTTTTTATTCTCTATGGAATTTAATATTAAATATGTTAAATACATTTTTGAACCAATTTTATATTTATATGTAACTTATGTGGAGCATATATGTGCTCTCTATGTAAATTACTTTTTATATGGTTAAGTCCTTTTTTAAACAATAAAACATTTTTTAATACTATTATCTTTTGAGTGTAATTGTATCTTGTGCCTAAAAAAGATTAAGTGGTTAAAGCAATGGTTTCCAACCCATGGACTATGGGCAACATGTTACTGGGCGGCAGTGTTGCATAACTGAATAGTTCACGGTGGGTAGAAATGTATGAAATTACTATATCAAGACCGTGCATTGATTTTTAAAGATTGATCGTACCGAAAACCAATGGACCATACAACAAATTTACAAATAATAGTATGATACAAGTTAATTGTTATCACTTATCACAATGTCACAATTTATAGGTATTATTATAATTCATATATGATAGGATTAGTAGTCAACTGTATTTCTTCGGGTAACTTAGAAATGTCATACAAGTATTCTAAATTTATTTTAATTGATTTTCGTTCATGAATTTTTATTTAGATGAGTGAATGTTAAAAACCTGCATACATTGTACAAAATACAGTTAAATTATTTCAACTTGGCATTTAATACATTTTTTTGTTCCATATATATATTAATTATTTATTGAAATATATACATTTTTAAACTAAATAAATTTAATTAACATACATTTTTGTTTATCTATTTTTGCATGTTTTGAAAACATTATGAAAATCAGTGCATAAATGCATGCATATTTTTGTATATTTTTAATTAATAATGTTTTAATTGTACGTGACATATCTTATAAAATGCTTAAAACAATAGTTCAAAAAAAAATTTGATAAAAATCAATAATCGACAATTTATAAAGAGTCCAATATATAGAACTTCACCATCTTGCAGATAATGTTCAGTTACTTTTTCTTACATTTCATCATATTTTGCAAAGGTTCAAATTTCACACAGCTCATCATATCTTTCAATTGCAGACTTGCTAAGAGTTAGCCATTCATTATTTCTGCAATGAGCTTATTTCGTATTTTAGATTTAATAAGATTTACTTTTGAAAATACCCTCTCTGAATTGATTGAATTAGCCATACTTTAAAAATAAAGACATAATTTATTTTGCTCAAAAAATAGAACTATGACACACAACACTGTCAATAACTGATGAATATCAAGCCTTTAAAACTTCAATTTTTCTGAAAAATAAATTGAATGTTGAAAATGATTTGAGCCTAAAAATATCCAGTTTAAATCCTGGTATAAACTTTCTTGTAGGAGAAAAACAATGCCAAAAATTTTATTGAGTAATTTGTATCTCTGACCACTTGTTTTTGAGTTAAATACAGTAAACTTAATTTCTTTATTAACATTTTCATTAAAACTTTTCTTGTAAGTATGTTTTTCAAATTACTGATAGTGTCACAAAATCATTCGTATATAGGTATCAATTTGTGTGTGTTTTTAATTTTTACCTGTATATTAAGTAGGTGTGCTAGTTTGTTTTACAAAATTGGTGGTCCACACATCTAAAAAGGTTGGAAACCGTTAGGTAGAGTGTAAATATAATTGATTATTGACCATGAATGAAAATATTGTTAAATAAGATTCAAACAGGTTCATATTATACTCATACAACTATATCAAGATAAATAACAAACATTGTTATATTTTTTTTAAATTATATAGTTTATGTATGTGTTAAAATATAAATATATATTTTTTTTTTTAACAGAAAATAATTAAATCATTAGAGGAGAGTACCGATTATTTAATATCAGATATGATACAAAGTGAAGAAGCAAAACACAATACCACTTCAGAAACTAATAATGTAAATATATTGTTTAATCTAATTTTATATTATAAGGTAAGGCAGCATAAAACTTAGTTCTGTTGATATTTCAGTGTAGAAAAGATATAGAAGTAGGACCATCTTCTAAACGTAAAAATTCAGTTGATCTCATTAATAAAGCAAATATTTTAAACATAAAAATTTTATCCGCCAAAAAGGTTAGTAAAATAATATAATTTACAAAAATGTATTTATCTTAACATTTCTTTTTAAATTAAGTTTCAACATTGGCTCAAGTCTTTATTGAAAAAACGCCGCACCAAAAAAAAACCCAGAGATCAAGTTGCAAGTGTATTACGAGGAAAAGTTAGTTTGAAAATAGAATCAATGGATCAAGCACAACGTCCTGTGTTTGAATTTATACCCAAGTGGCCAGATTTAGGCGATGCATTGTGTAAAAACAAAACTAAACATTCAGTCGAGCATAAATATGATGGAGATAGAAGTGGTGATGATTACTCTTCAGATCAGTACAGGTAAATAAATATTTTGTCTTCTGAATTTATGGATTGACTATTGATTATCATGCAACTATTAATTCAGTACCTCAGAAATTGGTGGAATGTGTGAACTATGTGACATGCCATTTATGAATTATAAAGAACATATAAATACAAAAAAACATTTGAAAGAAAGTCAAGATGAAAACAGATTTCATGAATTAGACGAGTTAATCAATGAGAGGCCTTTAAATGTTATACTTAACCAAATTCTACCCGATAAGTCTGATAAGTAAGTTGTATAATGCTATATTAAAATTTAACATAATTTAATATTATATGTATTTACTTAGAAAAATTAACAATGATCAAAACTCTGCTCAGAAAACAACTAATCTTAAAAACTGCATAGAAGATACAGTTATTACAATAATTGATTCCGATTCAGATGATGCTGAACAAAAAAATGTGGTAAATTATAGAAACTTAAGCTTAACATTTTCAATTAATTTTACTTGTAAAAAGAATAACAAAAAAATATTTTCAGTTAATCCACATTTATATTTAAAATTTGAGGGGTAATAAATTATTACCAATTATATGTTTTTATATATTTGTATTAATTTGTGATCATTTATCAAAAAAAGGTCTGCTTTCATTTAACACAACATATAATCTTCTGTATATATAATGGAAAGTGTGCTTTACCGATAATCAACGCAGAGCCGAACCTATTTGAGTTATCGACTTCAAATTTCGAAGATAGATTTTTATAATAATTTCATCGGGCATTAAGAAAGGATTTTTCAAAATTTTGATTTTAAATGGTTGAAATCGGGAAAATTAAATTGTTTACGTACAAATTGTATATCTATATACCACGTCAACTACCGCGACCAGCGTGGGTTTCCATAGTCACATGCAACCATAACTTTTTGTTTGCTTACTATGTGTTTGATCTGCGTGTAGATATGAATTGTTCCGAGAAGTAAAATTCTACAATCTATCTAGCTATATCTATCTTTGTTTATAAAAATAAATCCCTATTTCTCTTAGTCGAGGCATTGCCCTTATCGCTTATCATTTAAAACAGATCCATCTCTGTTCAATCTATGATATAAAACAGTTAATATATAATTTCTTAGTGCTCATTTCACAGTGGAATCAATCGGAAGATAAATGAAAAATTGTATAGTGAGTTAGGTGTTAATAAGTGTTTGTTCACCATGGTTAGTTTAAGCGATCACGCTTAAAATTTAAAACAAACTTAAGTCACCCTTGGGTCGCCATGCCATACAATATGTGTATAGGTATACAATTTGCAGGTTCATTTTAATTAATAACTAATTTTCCTCTCAACTTTCTCGACTTGGTATTTTTTTAAATTTTTTGGTTGCCATTGGTTAACCGGACAGATCAGGTTTAAGAATGCATCAAATTGAATTTTAGTACATTGGCTAACAAAGTGGCTGTTGGCTGAGTTACACTTGTAGCCGCTCATCGATATGTACACAATCAAAATAATTAATACAATTAAAATTAAACATATTCATACAGAACACTATACCCGCACTTATTCGGGTTTGCAATCCACCACAGGTAGATAGCCTATCTGTTAATATACTGCTTACATTATCACAAGCTAGTCTCAATAGAGTTTGCATTTTGTAAAGAAGTGCAAGGGATCAGCTAGAAAAGATATAATAATGATGCAATAGATCTTTGTTTCGACACGACACTACGACAATTAATTTGTCTACTGACGATCAAACGTGGAAACGGCTGAAACCGCCATATTTATGACGTAGGAATACTTGCCGAAATTATAAACTACAAACTAATTTAATATTTGTATTGAGTTAAGAGTTGTATGGGAAACACCGGTTAGCTCAATTATAAATTATAAATTATAAATTATTAATTGCGTTATCGAAAAATAATACTTTTCTTATCGATGTGCGATAAACTTGTTAAACCATACAAATATATAATTATAACTATAGAATCATTTTTTAATAACAATATGTGTATAGAATTATTAGAATCATTAGTAAATATTATTACTTATTATTTTTTTGTTTTAAAAGATTTTTCAAAATAAGACCTCAAAGGGGGTAAGAGGGTTTGTTTTTATATAGCTATGTAATACACGGGCAATGCCGTGACGGGACAGCTAGTCTTATTAAGTTGCTTTAATATGTATAATATTATATTGGTTTTGAATATTATATTTTATGGATTCAGTGTATTATTTATAATATGTTTATATGTAGGTCCAAATTGAGTCCTAACACAAAATGACAGTAAAAAAAAATATCCACAATTTATGGACGAGTTGACGAAGTATAGTATACCAAAATAACAGACATAACGTGTAGAACTTGCTACAGTTGATGGATCCAGTTAATGAGAGAGCATGCTTATTGTCCAGTCTCCAGTTATACCTAAATACTAAGGAGCCCATTAAAAGGAGATATTGTTTAGTGATAGTCTATGTTTTGAGAAATTTCACAAGTTAGAAAAGCTCACTGCGGTGTACTAAATCCCCTGTTCTAAACATATTTTACTACAACACAATAAACTATAATTCCATATACCAAATTAAGTACAGTAACTACAGGCAATAATTAAATACTAAACTATGGACAATAATTAAATACTAGTTAGCCCGTGTGCAGTACTGATTACAATTATGGAAATTAATTTGAAAGGGGGATTATTTTATATATGTCTTTATTTGTTTTCGGTTGTTATATTAGCAAAACATATGTTTGTTAGATGTGTATCCATTAGATACGGTGGACCGTGATGTTTGTGAGTTGCGTATCCATTAGAAACTTTTTGAGTTGGCCAATGTGTGAATTTTTGTTTCATTTAAACTTGTTTTTAACTATTGAGCTATGTCAGAAGTGGAAGTAATAACTCTTCACATGGTGTGCGGATTATTTCATATGGTGCAGTATTTGTTGAGAAAAAAAGGATATTAACATTAGAAACAATGGATATTATACTTATATAAATTATTATTACTATACTCTATCTCTCTATTCCAAAAGAGAATAATCACTTTCGTACATTCGTCTGACAGTTCTGGCAGTGTCAAAGCCAAATTTTCCTCAACATACAAACCAATGTTTTCCATGACTTACCCTATTTGGTATTTATATCAAAATTGGCAATGGACCACCCATTATAGTGGAAAATACATTGGGTATAATATGTACTGGTAACTAATGAACAGATGCAACTGGAATATAAGATGTTTTAAACCTATGTTTAGAAATCTAAAATAAACATTATGTGAATGTGTGATTATAGAGTTCTTATAGAGAGAATTATTTTGTAGTTACAAAATATTTTTCTTTATAGCATTGTATGTATATGTTTTTAAGTTAACTGGCTGATAAATATTTGTTCTTATTAAATTATAAAATTACAGTTATAATATTTATATATTTTGTGTTTTTCAGCCTTCTTTGTTTGGTGATATAGCTCAAAGTGATTTTAAAGAAGAAGCATCAGAAAGTTTAAAGAGAAAATACCAATATTCTGATACCAATATTTCTTATGTACCTCAAAAGAGACCTAGTAAGTTGAATGTACCAATACATGATGAAATTAATTTTTATAAAAAAACCAAACGGAAACACAAAACACATCAAAAGTCATTATCCAAGGATATATATAAAGTGGAAGTTGTAAACAGCCATCCATCAAATTCAAATAATAATCCAAATAATGATAGAATTGCCTCCGATCAACCACCAGTTATAATACGTTTCAAGAGAGTACAAAATTCAATTAACAAATGTCCTTCAAGTGATGTTATAACAATATCATCATCATCATCATCATCATCATCATCATCCTCATCTTCATCATCGTCCTCATCCTCATCGTCATCATCATCTGATGATGATGATATTAATGTAAAAATAATCCCCGAGGACACAATACCAGTTCATAGATATATACGTGTAGTAAGAAAACCAAGTTTTAGTAATAAAACTGAAGTCACGCCTTCAAAAAGCTTCACCGAAAGTCAAATGTTTACATTTGAACATCCTGAATTACGTCGAAATATCTATAAAAATTGTTCTTACTATCCTACATACACATGTATTCCTGACACTAAGTCTAGCGTTGAATACATCCAGCAAAAGATAGAAAATTTAGGTAATCCTAGCTTAAAATGTGCATTGTCATTTAAAGATTCTTTAAAAGCCATGTCTAATATGGAACCTAAACAAATTGGAGAATGGTTCTATAATGTTCCCAAAAAAATTCAAGATAACTTATCATTCAATTCCTCATCATTAGTTCCACTAACTGAGTTATCAAAAATTAAGTCTTTTGTAGCCCCTAAAGGGAATGTGCACAAAAGTTCAACATCATTCAGTTCTATTGAAATATTGTAATTTTAGTTGATTAATGTTCCAAATGGTTTTGTGTCCTATCTGAGATCTCTTAATGTTATTTTCTTTAGGGATTATTTGTAATTATTATGTTGAATTTTTTTTAATTATTAAATGTTATATGCCCCATACTTATAGGCAAAAAAACATTTGATTTATACCTACTCAAAGTTATATCCAAAGAATTGTTATTCAGTTTATTCTTACCAAATACCATATACAAGTATTAAATCAATTAAAAAATATGGATCTGTTCTTGATAATTATTTATTTTAAATATTGTTCATAAATTAGTTAAACTTTATAATTTTTGTTATGTGGCTTAAAACCACAATTTTTTTTAAAAATATTTTATTTAAATTCAAAGTTTATGTTTATGTTAATGTAAATATATGTTTATTTATTTATGTAACCATTTTATTTTATTTGTGGAACGTTGTTCAGCCAGTGCCTTGTTGAAAACTAAAGTCCAAACTTTTATAGAAGTATATGAATTAATTCCAAACGGAACCTTATATAAATCAACTAATGATACAAGAAATTTAATTTATAAACAAAATTATTTTATGGGGAATAATTTTCTACTTTAAAATTGTTAACAATAAACAGTTAATGATAGGTATATTATAGGTAAATTATAAATATATTCAAACATGAAATTCAAATTATTTATCAACAAGTCATTGTTTACTTAATTGTATTTGAATAAGCTTAAGTAAAAAAAATAATATTAATCCACAAATATTATAGTATTAAGAAAAGTCAGTTGTTGTATTTTTTTTCAGTTATATTTTATTGTTGTGTTGTGATTATTAAATACATATTTACAAGATATATACATATGTTATGTAAGATTAATTTCTTAGTTTTCTGAATATTTTATGTCTATTTATTATAATGTTTTATTGCTATATTTTTATAAATGGTCTAAGAACTGTTTTTTTAACCGAATTTAAATATTTTTATTACCTTATATGTCAGTGTTGAGACTGACTTTAGAGGAAAAATCTTACTTTGGTTATATTATACATCCTTGTCATTGAGCAAAAAGTGTAAATACTTGATCAAGTATTTCCTAAAATTTTTTAAATATTTAAGTACAAGAAAAAAATTACAATTAACAAAGTTGAAACAAATGTATCAATTTCACTAAGTTAATATTTATAATATGATGGCAACAAACTATTAAATGTACTACCTTATATTTTTAATATTTATATTATATTACATTTTTACAAAGCAAATGTATAATGGTTTTCTTTTTCATTTGTATTGCCATTTTGTGTTTAGACTTGAGTAAATGTGTATATTATATTTTGTTAACTGTGAGTTGTGAATTTTGTTTTAAAAATATACATGTGTGTGCCTTTATTCCAACTTGATGTTTTTAGTTACCTATCAATTTATTATAATGTTATACTAATCAGCAAGACTGGGCAAGTTAACTATTTTTTTTGAATTGTTTGGTTAGTATAGAATAATTTAAGTTAAGTTAAAAGTTGTTAGAGTTACAAGTTAACTAAAAAATAAAAGTAACTCAACTTCATAATAATACTTGTTTTAAAACTAAAATAATTCTGTAACACTGCAGTCTATGTCTGGTATAAGATTATGTCCGATACAGGCGTCACCAATCAATCGTGATTATCGTAAAAATCATTAATGAGATAAGATTATTAAAAAGTACACCCTACACATTTCATATAATATTTTCTTGTTTACGTTGGCTGTGAAAGCAACAGTGCCTACTCGGTTGCCTATGGGTTGATATAATATTATATTAGTTAGTTTTTAATTAAATTTTTTCTAATTTTAAGAAGGTAGGGTTATTATAGGTCATTATTAGTAATAGGTTTACATTTATTGTTTTAGATTCTGAGCGGAGCAATATGAATGTATTGATTTTATAATGATGTGTGTTTTTATATTTATTTATTTATTTCATTTTTTTTTATTTTTGTGTCAGTCATCACGGTTTCTTGAAGTAAAAATGCTTCGATATTCTTCAACTGCAACTTTTCTGGTAGGAAAGTAAATCTAGTAAATCTAGCACTCAGGAGGTGAAAATTTAAAATTCCAAATAGTTTTCAAGAGCAACAGGAAAAACAAACAAACAATTAAGGAAAAACGGGAATTTTTACGCAAAACCAGTTTTCGAAAAAATCGATATCGATGTTTAGTATAACTCTAACAAAAATAACCGTAGATACATGCAATTTTCACTGAATATTTGTGTAAGCATCTTCTATACGACTATACACCATACAATTTTCAAATTATTTTGATTTGTGTTGAACTATTTATGGCATATGAAATTTTCGCTCGGTCAAAAAACTTGCAAATGTAATAGAAGGTTCCTTGTAAGTTGTTGTAAATAGAAATCTAAGAACAAGTTGAGCGTAAATCCACAATAATTTGTTATAAGCTTTTAAACTTAGAATTTTGACAAAATTCGTAAAAATCACGAAAATTAGCAAACTATAATATATTTAATATATATTATACAATTATAAATTCAAAAAATGTTTCTATTTATATCTAAGGTTTAAAAATTTAATACAAGATTTCTTATAAGTGTGTCTACCTTATCTAATCAGAAATGTCTACCGGAAAGTCAAATTAAATTTTTATGGGTGTTTGAAGTTGACATGTTTACAACATTGGATATTCACTCGATTTCTCTAATAGCAATTTTCTTATTTTATTGTAATTCAAAAACGAATTACTGTAGACATTTGAAATGTACACCAAATGTTTATTTTATCAACTCATATGCTTGATCAAATTTTTTAAAAATTCAAAATAATCATTTTAAGCTGTTGACATTTTCAATTTAAAATTTTTTTTCTATAAATGTCAATAAAATGTTTTTGGTTGGTTCAAAAAACATGATTCTTAATAACTTGTTACAATAGCAGTTCAAAAATATTTAAAGTTCAAATGTTGACAATATATTTATCAAATTGAAAATTGAAAATGATTTTGAAGTTAAAAATGAATAAAATTTTCAATTTTTACAGCTAAGGATTGAAGGTTTAAAATAAAGTTCCACTTAAGTGGTTTTTTCCTTAACTAAGAAATCTAAAAAATATATAAATACAGTTAGGTATTTGTTACAGACATTTTAAGTTCAAATTTGGACTAAATTGCATATTAACACAAAGGATAACGTTTATCATTTTGTTGTAATTCGGTTCCAAAACAGCCCAATTTTACGTACCTAGGTATATTTAATATTTTTGCAGCATTACTGATAATTTAAGAATAATATTAATTCGACTTACCATATTAATCATAAGTAATAATAATATGATATATCCTAAACTGACATGCCGTCTCCGCTCAGAATCGTTTTTCGTATACAATAATTTGATATAATTGAATTAAAATTTAATACCATCCGTTACAGCATTTTTTTCATTGAAATATATTTATATAAAGTTTTTTTTCAAAATATGCATTTATTCATACAAATCTCTAACTATGCAAAAATATGCAACATAAAATTTATGTCGTATGAAACAAATTTATATTTAACTTTGTCTGCAATGCGTACGACTAAAACAAAGAATGAAAATTCATAAACAACCAAACCTTAAATTGTCTCTAATTATAGTACAATTATTGTATAACATTATAACTCTATATTCGGAGCATAGAATGTTGGAGTTATCTATAGTTTTTTTTTGAGTAATCGAGGTTTTCGTAAGGGAACGGCATTTTTTCGACTTATCGAGGTTCCACTGTATACCTACCTACTCAAGAATAATTTTTTCATGTTTTTGAAATATTTGTACTACTATTAATCATCAATGGTATTAGGTATTTAAGGATTGTCCCGTGGCAATACAAACTTCTGTTTTTCAAATGAGAACCTCCCTGCCTTTTTTTACTGTAAAATATTTTGTGGACAACTGTTTTGAAAATATTCATGTATCTAAATTAAAATTTGGACGTGTAATTTCTCAGTTATCAAAATGTTTGTACCAAGGATTGATAGTCCTAATCAAAAATGGTTTTACAAAAATCAAAACATGTTTAGGTTATATTGAATTTAGTGTGTATTATACATGTACTTGGACCATTTTATACTTCGTGTTGATGAAGTAGTATTTATCACTAAAATGTTCAAATTATCATAGACCTATATCTTACACAACCCATGATCATGGACATATTATCCTTGGTACGCAAAATTATATAGCTAACTAAAAAACTACTCATACAAATTTTGATTCGGATAAGTCAACATTTTCACTAAATAAATTACAGTAGAAAGGGAAGGTGGGTTTTCATTCGAAAAACAGATGTTTGTATCATAAGTTAGTTTGGTGAATCACTGTGTAATTCTTTTCATCTCATTTTTAACCATAAATATCAAAACTAAAAACAGCATTGACTAAAATTACAATATAGGTTACATGTTTTAGACCCCCACCCCCTGCAAAATACAGGGATACGGCCTTGGCCGTCTGCCAATATTTTTTTATTTCCTGTTGTGGTCCAATGTGGCAAGCCAAATTGCTTTTTCACGCGCATAAAAATAGGCAAAAGCAATGTAACTGGGAAATATTTGTTTTGTAAATTGATCTAGGTAAGTACTTACGAAAATAGCTACAAAATATGACATTGATCTACTGAGATCTCATTATTTGAATAACTATTACCTATCAAACCGAAAAATGAATTTTTTTATTTTTACGAGCATTTAATTTTACGTTTAAATACATAAAAAGCAAAATGATTATGCGGTTACCTATGTAAACAAAAAACCATTTCACATAATAATGGTGATCACCGACTGAGTATGGTTTATAAAATATGAAATTTGTGACAGCAAACTCAATTAAAGTATAAATAAAGGGTTAATTTAACTTTGGAGTTAGCAGTCCCAAGTAAATCAAATAAAGAACTCCATAAAATTAAACTTTTATTTCGCAATGTTAAATTTGTATAAAATGTTGAAATATACTGACTTATTATTTTTTTAATTTAATTCACCACAGTTCGAATAACCAATTGTTGGTTAAGAAGGGGCCACATCGCGTTTTTTATTTCAGTCTTACAAGTCACAAGTGCATGACATACCTACCTAGCGAAATTAAGTTAATGTTTATAGCTTCGTCTGTTTAAAAATCGACCTATTGTATTCATCGTTTTTTTACAAAAATTAAATTTTTAATAGAGTTTTACGTAGGTACATAAAATGGTGCAATTTAAATATGCTCATAACTCGCTCGAAAATGAAATGATCGAAAAAACCTGACAAATGAACACGGATAATATTCAAACTATTAAGT